ATTAAGAAAAGATAAAAACTAAACTAAATATCAAGATAACTAATCAAAAAAAATATGGCTTATTTATAGTAGAGATCTTCTACTCTCAAAATAATAAAATAAATAAAATAAAAGAATATGACTTATTTATAGTAGAGATTTTTACTATTAAAATAATATTAAAAATCAAAAATATAATATTATAATTCAAATAAAAATTAACTTTATATGGTCAAAGAAATAAAATTAAGTAAGAGAAAGAATATTAGTATAATTAAAAAAAAATCTTTCAAAAAGATTACTATTATTATAATAATAAACTTTTTAATTATATTTTTCAAATAATTCAATTCAAAATTATTTATTTCAAGCTAGAATAGCAGATTTTTTTATATATTTTTCAAATATATAAATTATTATAGTATTATTAATTAATACTATCTAAATATATATATTATTATAAAGAATTAATACTCTATTATTATAATATTAAAAATATCAAGATTATGTTTATATAGATATTTTTATGGATATTTATATGAATATTTTCATGGATATTTATATAAATATTTAGTTAATCAACATTCTAAATATTATTATTTCATCAAAAATTAAAAATAATTTTCAAATATATTATTTTACTATATATATAAAAAAAATATAATATATAATTCAAAATTATAAATTTCAAATAAAAGGATATAATATTTAAAAATAGAAATATAATAAAAATAAATATAGTAATAAAAATAAATATGTGATATAAAAAAATAGGAATAATTATGTATTAGATTATGAAATTATAGGAAAATAAAATTTTGCATAATCAAGAAAAGATTATAGAATTAAGGAATTTTATGTTACTATAATAACAATAATATTATTAATTAATACTATCTAAATATATATATTATTATAAAGAACTATAATTTACTATTATAATATTAAAAATATTGAAATTCAAAATGTTAATATTATAAATGTCAATATTTAATATGTGGATATTGTAAATATTAATATTTAAAATATGAATATTATAAATATTAATGTTTAAAATATGGATATTACAAATGTTATTATTTAAAAATATGGATATTACAAATGTTAATATTGCATTAGTATTTCAAATATCAATATTTAAAATATTGATATTTCATTATTTCACCAAAAATTAAAAGGATCTTCAAATATACTATTCTAATAAGTAATAAAAAATATATAACATGTAAATTAAAAATATAGATCTCAAATTAAGGAAATAAAATATAGTATTTAAAATAAAAATATGATTATAAGGAATAAATATAAAGAAAATATGTGTAATTATATAAAAATAAGAGTAATTATATAGTAAATTATAAAATAATAGAAAGAAAGATTATGGAATTAGAGAATTTTATGTTACTATGATAATAATAGATTTTCATAACTTACATCAAATTCTTTTCCCAGTTTCTGATATAAAATTCTTCTACATTATCTCCTACTTTAAATTTTACCATACAATTCTAATATGTTAATTTTTTGGAAACTTCCTTATTCATCTCAATTCCTATGTATCCCCATGTAAATTTAAGAGAAATAATGATGATGTGTTTTTTGGTGTTGATATTCTATATTGTATCTCTCTAGGGAAGGGACGGGTGCTATAAGATAAATTCTGTATGTGATGAAATATAATTCTGTTATCCGGTTTGATCTCATTATTAATTAATTTTGTGCATTTCTGCAATGTTATATTAGTAATTCTCTGCACTCCGCGATATTCTATTAGTACTTCTGTGAACAAATGTGATTTATTGATGATAAATACTTAAAAAAGATAATTGTTTCTTTTAATCTCTAAAGATAGTGACTGAACTTGTTTTCTTTCTCTTTGTAATTAATGTCTAACTTTTATTTTAGGGGTAATGTTAGCCGAAGCCAACATATTTGGAGCACAGAATTTCATTATGCTTACAATCCACATTTTTCATTAAACACTGCCATGTCAAGTATTTTAACCCTCCTGCAAAAAAAGATTCTTTATTATAGAAAAGACTTATGATACTCCAAAGCCAAAGCCGAAGACAATAAATCTTTTCATAGAAAAATTTTTTACAGAAGGCACTCCCGGTTACTCTTCCGAAGAGGAGTGAGGCATTCCCGAAGGAGCACATTCTTAGAGAGCGAAAGAGAAAACAGGACAAAGGAAAATAAAAGCATTCTTTATGCTAGACACAATCTTCCTTACCTCCCTCCTTTATATATTTGAGAAACGCGCCATTAAAAACAAGAGTTGTTTACGTGCTCCTTTATTTGTTTTGGCGTAAAATATCTTATCATCATTATAAACTACCAATCACGTAACATTTCTTATTTTTGCGTTATTATGCTTATGCATACATAATAAGTTAACAATCAATTCTATCAATACTAACAGCTTTTTACAATGATAATAATTGTGTAATACATGTATTACAACCATATATATTTGAAATTCTGTGTAATTCTGCAGCGGTATATCATAGTTTCTGTATTATCGCAGAGTTCTGTGCAATACAGGGAGGGCCTTGCAGATTAGAAATCAGAGTAATGAAACATAATATTTTTGTTCTAAAAATAAAAGATATTGCAATGATGCATGCTCATGTAAATAAAACCCCTTTAATGTGCATGTAATTACATGTGCATGTAAACCGAAGGGAATACGAATGCCCAAATTTCGAAATATGTAACCTACACAAGAATGTATGTTAAACATGCGAATATTTAGCCTAATCTGTTTTGGAATATTAGTTAAAATGTCCGGGAAGACAATTTTACATATAATCTTGACCTTATAGAATGCTTGTTTTAATTAATACGTTTCCAAATAAGGTATTGAGTATAATCATATATTTCCTAATTTGGGGGGGACATATAACTCTTCTTAAGTAAAACAATAGCCATTCTCTTTATTAAAAATACATGTAAGGTATTACCATGTCATAGAAATTCTATAGTGAAAAACTGTTTTGTATTGTTGGCGTAAAATGCTTTTAACGTTACGTTATTGACCCTAACACCGCACTGTAAGACTTTGTCTAAAATAAGAAAAAATCATTGGTGTAAATGTTGCATATTATTTTTTAATATACTCAGCAATTTTTCTTATAAATGAAGCGTTCGCTCTCTCCAAAATCCTTTTATTCACTTTGGATTAACGAAAAAATTTTGAAAATCAACACGAATAAATAAAGATCGAAATGATTACGTTAAAAAAATTCGTTGCGATCGTTTTGATCCTGGCAATCTGTCTTTTCGTTTTACCTGACGCTATTCCTCTCGATTATGAACAGGGTGACCAAACCTTCACATTTGAACCAGGCTACGTCGGTGTACAACAACCCGGCCAAGCCATCGCCATTGGCGGCCCCGCTACCGGTGGCAATGGTGGTAATGGTGGTAACGGTGGTAGCGGTGGTAACGGTGGTAACGGTGGTAATGGTGGTAACGCAGTTGGAGGAAACGCTAACGCCAATGTCGGAGATAACGGCCAAGCCATTGCCATTGGCGGTCCCGCTATCGGTGGCAACGGTGGCAATGGTGGCAGCGGTGGCAGCGGTGGTAGCGGTGGTAACGGTGGTAATGGTGGTAATGCAAAAGGAGGAAACGCCAGCGCCAGTTCTGGAAATAACGGCCAATCCATCGCCATCGGAGGCTCAGCCATCGGCGGCAATGGTGGTAACGGTGGTAGTGGTGGTATCGATGGTAACGGTGGTAACGGTGGTAAAGGTGGTAACGCAATTGGAGGAAACGCAAACGCTATAACCGGAAATAACGGTCAAGCTATCGCCATCGGTGGCCCCGCCATCGGCGGCAATGGTGGTAACGGTGGTAGCTCTTAAACATTTGCAAGACGTTTTACTCAATGGAATTTCAGTATGAAAAGTATTTTTATTAATGAAAACATGAACAGCACATGAAATACTGGAATTAAAAAATTAACCACTGCGTCATAACATACATTATGTTTATTTCACAAACTTTAACGTCACTTTTTATTGTATTTTATAATTAGAATAACTTGCAAGCTAATTTTTAGATTGTAAAATCTTTTTAAAACTATTTTATTTTGCAAATGCGATCAAATTTTGTGTTATTTAAATTCATGTATTTTATATCAAAGTTTCTCGAAAAAACAGAAAGTATTTATGACTATAAAATGCAATCTGAAACTCTCAAGTTAGTTAACAGTAAATTTCTAATACACATTAACGATTTAAAAATGGAATCTAGAAGAAATGGTTTTTCAAATACATAGTGATATTTATAACTCGGAATAGAAAATAAAAAACGATTCAATAATGCAAGCGTGGGCAAGGCAACTACTGTTGTAGAAAAAGGACAATTTGATCATATTTGAAATAAGTAGAGATGGAATCCAAGAAGAACTAGAACCATGACGGTGAGTTTTTAAAAAATACCGAATGAACTTTCTATTATAGAAATGAAAGTTATAGTTAGGGTTGTTAATGGAGTATTATACTCCGGCGCCATTCTGGAGTGAACCCAAACTGGAGCTCTGCTCCGGATTGCTCCAATGGAGTAATCCGGTTTGAAGTAGCCCAGATTGTATCGCTAGTACATGTATTTATTATTAACATTACTTACATTTACAACAATAATGAGTATTTGATTTCATTTTTTGAGTTCACATTAAAAATGTGATAGTACATGCATTGCATGTACATACAGTATATGTAACAGTAGTGATTCAAATTTATGACCATTTGTGTTAAGAAATACATGTATTAAAAGAAAGCTTATTCCCTATGAAAAAGTATGTCCCAAATTTACGTGTTTATAAGGGATTTTATGAAGTCAGATTACGAACGCGTCGGGAATTGCATAGAATGTATGTTAGAGATACATAAAGAACTCGAAGAGCTTATTTGGTATCTGCTCGGAAATTACAGATCATATACGTAATGAACAGAATACGTATGGGAAACATAGTGTAGTTAGGAATGCATAAGGAACGCAAACCTTTGTTGAACATGCCAGAAATGCATGTGCTGTTCATGTTTTCATTAATAA